TTATCAATGCTCATTCTAAATAATCTGATTCTACATTAAAAAAATGCTTTCAGAAGTTGGGGGATACCGAGTATGCAATAAAGGTGATGATTGTCAAAGGTTCATATGAGACTTTTTTTTTTATTACTATTCAGTTCTGGAAACCTCGAAAAACCACAGAATTTTAATAATAAAGATTTACAAGTGGCCAAAAATTTCATCTAGAAACAGTTTTAGAAATCTTTGTTCTGTTTTAAAACTGATTGTTCCGTCGGGCAACAAATTACTAAGCATCCATCTTTCACCAGACGTATCTATTTGGTAGTCTAGATCTACGTATCTTAATTTCTCTATCTATGTATTGTATCTGTACATCAATCATCGTGTACACATGCTGTACATAAACTATCAATAATAAACAGTATTAGGCGTAGAATTAAACACTGTTTAACATTCTTGTAATACTGACCATTGATTTATTTATGTATGTATCTATTAAACGTGCAAGTAATGCCAAGACAAGCTATACATATTTATTACTTGGCTGTCTAGCTGAACTGCAGAAATCGTATATTTAAAAGAAATAAACAACATTTTTTACCCAAATAACAACTTAGGTTCATGAGGATCCTTTCTACCAGTTGGTCTTTGTCCAAACCTCTTGAATGTATAGATGGTATAAAGATTTCGTAAAATGTTGAAAGAAAGAAACAACCATTGTTTACACCGATAGCAATTAAGGTTCATGGGGATTTTTTTTTACCAGTTGGTTCCTGTTTACAGCTTTTTCGAATGGAATAGGAAGAAAGATGACACATTCAAGGTCATCAGACTATCCTACAGATCTCTTCAAATTTGGCTCTTTAATGCTGGTGATGTTTTCAACAAAACCATAATTAAAAGTAAAAAGATTTTGTTAAGCGATATTGGGCGTAAACTAGTTTGGAAAATGTGGTAAATTGCTTAAAAAATATTGATCTTCAAGTATTGCTTGCTTTATGTTAAAACAAACATGGGTAGAAAATCAGACTTTCAAGGCTTCTTCCAAAATTCATGCAACTATGGGTAAGATATTTATTTTAGAATATGCAAAATGACGAAAATGGGTTAAAGAGTGGTGCTTCATTGTTTCTGTTGGACGGGTGGGTGTTTGTGAAATATTCGTTTTCACTTGTTTCAAGCAAAGGGTAAAAAAGTATAAGTCAAATCATCCGCTAACAGAAAAAAAAGTAGCTTAACAATAACAGACACGAAAGAAAGCTAATGCAATTTAAGAAAAGGATAAAAAAAAATCTGTTGTCACCCTTGTCTATGTCTAATAGTATTTTAATCTTTTTCAAGTAAAAAACGCTGCAATTTATAAATTAAAAACTATAATTGTATCATTATGCTATTAAAATGTAATCACTATTCGTCTGCTTCGTAATCACAGACAAATTGATCGCTGAAAGAAATTCCCAAACGTACAAAAACCTTTCCGAAAAAAGCCAAGGTGAAGTAATCGAACACATAAAAAATAATGTTTAACGTTTGTTAAATAGAGAATCACCCACCGAGAGTCAAATGATTAAAAAGAAATAATTGTGTTCAAATGTAATTTAGATTAGTTGACAAACATTAAGAAGCCATTAAGGTTTATACCTGAATGCTCAATCAGAATTTTACCGCCCAAAATATCATTAGTTTATCGCCATATATAAAACCATATCTGTTTATCTCTTAGTATATTAAATATTATTATAATTTATATTAGGCATAAAATAAACAGTTTGATGTATTCATAAACAATATTAACATAGATATAGTAATAATATGTAGTCCATAGATTAAATAGATGATAATTGTATTTGAAATATGAATGTGTGAAATCAAACACTTATGCCAAGGCAAGAATATCAAGCACATTTAAGTGGAAACCTGGCTTTGTCACCCTTTTTCTTCAATTTTCAAATCAATTTTCAGTCATCAAATTTTACCAACTCTCTCAATTTGCAGAGAACAGTAGAGCATTAAACTCCCTTTAATTGCATTACATGTCTGTTTTTGCAAACCGAAGATCATCTAACTTTTCATTTGATATTTCATTGGCTAGTGATCCACGTTAATTTTCTAATACATTTTATTTCTTAAACGTTTACTAAAATTTCTAGATTGTATTTTTGTTAAAGGGATATGTTTGCAATTAGTCTCAGAAGCGGGAAATTTTTAGCTATACTAATAAATTTTGTTCAAAGTTCACAGCCGCAATTTGAGCATTCACGTCCACGTGTGTCTCGAATTATCTGCTTTTGCAAGTTAAAATGACGACTCGTCTTTTTTATCACATATAAAAAGACATATAAAAATAGAAAGTAAATTTCTAGTTTGAGGTGATTTTTGTGAGGAATAATGCGATTTTCGTTTATTTCTAGTACTTCTAAAGACTATTTATATATATTCAATACCGAAATCAATCCTCGAATATGTCTCTTTAAGTTAACACATGAACACGTCAATAAAGGGTTGAATGTGTTGATTTAAGTCAGACATTAATATATTCAACTGTATTTTCATGTACTAATACATAAAACGCGTTCATATCCATAGAAGTCATTCAGACGAGGAAATGTTCGACAGTTATTGACCTTGTTAATGAATGCACACATTTATTATATTTATAGATAAGTTATCTAATATTCATCACTAATTTATTCACATGTTCCCGAGTTTTAATTGCTTTGAAAACATCCACACAAAGTTCACTGAATGCTGATCACTGTTTTTATTTTTAATTTTTTTTTTATTTTTTCTAATTATCAACAATTTATGAATTCATTATTTAAATTTCAACTATAAATCTGAACGTTAATTGCCAACAGCTTGAGTTATTCATTTCAGAGATGAGCTTAGTATTAAGTACTTGTAACAGCTTTGTCGTAACGTCACCATAATAATACATTTTTAACGATTCCATTTTCTGCAGTGGCAGTTCAATTCATTTCTTGAATCGATCCATGTTTTTGATATAATAGACAGATAAGAAATTATGTCGTATAAAAAAAATAAATTTTATATAAGCAGACCAAAAGACGTTGTGCAAATAATAAAATGGTATTGCGTGAGCACAAGGCACTTTATATTTTATACTAGTAATTTGTAAGCAACAAAAGTGATAGTGCCGATAAAAAAATATTCTTTCCTGACAAAATTTACTATGAGTATGAATTATCGGAATTGAAGTGCGAAAACAAATGTACCACAATAATGATACTAACTATAGACTATCATATAAAGTGACGAATTTGTTTGGTTTCTGTCAAATTTCAGTAACGAAACAGGAAACGAAATAAAGATATATACATATTTGAGTAAAGTTAAATTTGATATATTTTAATCGGAAGCAGATGTAATAGAACGACAACAGTAATGTCTATTTGTCGACATGTTCAAATTCCTCAGATAGCTTAGATAATAAACGTATATATTACATTTTCCTTACAAACAAGTTGGGTATTGAAATGATACCGACGCAAAAAGATCAGTTTTCTCGGAATTAATGACTGAGGATTTCTAAAATGTTTTAAGACATCTTCAGACTCCATGCAGTGTTATAGGATGATATTTGTCATAAAGAAAAAGCTCTGCAAATGGAAGATTCAAACAAAGATCACTAGAATTTTCAATTTTTGTATAGGATGTTATGTTTATTGACAATTTGCTAAGATCTGTGACATACCGTTGTACAACTTCTGCTATCATATGACGTTGCCCTTCTCTATATATCTTTACTGTGCATCGAAAAACGCACGAACAAGATAAACTGTCATTAAAACATAATTTTAAGAATTTTTACCAGAAATAGTTTCAATGAAGAGATTGTTTTAACATCCTCTTGGTATTTTCTACTCTTACCCAAAAGTCAGATTTTATTTTGAATGGATCATGCATTGTTTTCTTTGCAGCTCTTTAAAAGTTGAACAATATCTGTATTACTGTGTGCTTTAAATGATTTGTATTAGCGGCATCGTACCTTAGCAAATGCATGTTCACCTTTGTGGTTTCCAATAAAACAAGCTGTCACTTTGTTGACTGTAATATAGCCAATTAGCTAGATCTAAATATTAATCATTAATTAATTTGATCATTGTTTCTAAACATCAAACCTTTCTTCTATAACAATTCTACGATTATTGCGGTTCGTTATTGTACACGAGAGGCTCATATTAACTTCTTTATAGATATTAATATAGAAAATATGAAATATTCAAGCAAATAAGATACCTTATTAAGGTCGGTGTTAATTAAGTGTTTTGTGTGAATACTAATTAACATATTACCATCATTTATTGATAATAATGACACCTTTTACAGACGCTTAATGAGTCAGAACGGTCACAAATTTAATTCTCATTAATGCAGCAAATTTGAAAACAAAATTTGTTTTATATTGAAACAGATGTTGTGATTTAAGCAATTTTCACAGATATTTATTTAACACTGATAACGATAAGTGGAAGAAAAAAAATGTTCTGGAACAAAGAAATTTTCTATGACATTTATACGACTTTTCAAATAGTATCAAATAAAACATAATCATAGAGTGTACACAGTCAATTCCATTCACTTATTGTCTAGCGAGATAGGGGTCAATTTTGCCACTTGCTTTATAAAGATAATTAGGGTTCTTGAATATTGAATTGCCTTTTAGAGGAACAAAAAAGGGCAATTGATAATTTGATCTTTGGAATAGTGATTTTAAAGAATAACACATGGGGTCATTTTACATGTGATTTGAAACTACATTTTAGTGAATTGAAATAAACAAAGATGAAGGTCAGCAATGACAGTTTGGTTCCGTACACAAGCGAGTTTCCTGTACACAAATTTAGAATGCATAATGATGTTTTAATATGAAACTTAAAAAAAAAATTTCATACTAGACTAGATTTTAACTCTGACTTGAGGCATAAACAATCCCACAGCCTAAATTTTAATACCATTTTCTATTTTTCTTTTTAGGTATTCCATCTCCGCCGAGATTACCCCACAAGTGTGCTTTACGGAAACATAAGCCAAACAGAAAACCAAGAACCCCTTTTACTACGTCACAACTTCTAGCTTTGGAAAAGAAATTCAGAGAAAAACAATATCTATCAATAGCAGAACGCGCTGAATTCTCAGCATCACTCAGTTTAACAGAGACACAAGTCAAAATCTGGTTTCAAAACAGAAGAGCTAAAGCAAAGAGACTTCAGGAAGCGGAATTGGAAAAGCTACGCATGGCATCTAAACCCATGCTGCCACCCACGTTTGGAATTTCGCTGCCAGGAACAAATTTACCGGCATCATATCTATCACGTCATTTCTTTCCACCAACATCTCTAGCTGGACTAGGTCTTTATAGTGCTCTGTATCCCCATTAAGTTATGTATTGTGGCTTCATGTGTGTTTCACCATCTTCAACAACGTGTTTGACTAAACACAGCGTAAAGTGTGCTACATTTATATCATATTTACAAGTAAACTCTGCACAAGGTTTGCAAATTGGTGTCCAAGCTTTAGTATCACTAATCACGGTAAAATGACAGATTGGGTCGAGTTTTCCCTTTAATTCATTGCTAATTGTCAATTAATCTTGAAAATATTTCAAACTGGATATTTCCATCATCACCAGAATGCATCTGCGAGGCGGCGTGTGCATTTCATGTTGTGATTAATGGAACCCTCGGCACTGAAGGATGCCTGTCTATTCTACCACTCTTTTGTCAGTAATAATGTGTGTTTCTAGTAAGAATAATATGTAAATCTTGAAAGATTTGTGAGCGCTAGAATAATTATTATACAAATGTTATAAAAAAATAAATTCAAAACTTTATCGTTTTTCTTTCAATCTCAAGAAATATGTGAATCATTAATTGAAAATGGCAATATTATTCACAACACTTTGTTTTCAAAACGTGTGTTGCTTTGATGTATACTATCTTCACAAGGAATGAGTAAATGTTTTCAATCAGCGCGATAGTTGATTCCAAAAACTTACCTAACGTCCTGTAATATATGTTAATACCGTCATATATCAAATCAATTGTAGCCATACAGGTTAGCTTCCTATTTCACATATGCACCCCAAATTCCAACAATGCATGCACGTTCAGAGATATCTCTTTTTTGCTGATCACAGATGATTATAAAAGAAACCTCTACTTGCTGGTTATTCTGAAGATTTCGTAACTACCAAATCATCCAATTGATCAAGATCTACCTACCACGACTACCATCAAATACCTAGTCTGTGATATCATCAGCTTTTTCTGACACTGACGTTACTTTCACATACCAACCAAAATTGCTGGTTGAACCAGAACCCTGGCTTCACGGTAACAAGACGAACTTTTACCACTTGGTTCAGATATGTATCCACTGTAAAGCCAAACCCCCTTCATGTTGGTCATCTTGATCATCTTCCTTTCCGGATACGAGGTCTTTTGGATTTTGTTGTAAAATATGCATTTTAAGTACTTTAACAAGTACAAACAAAAATTGTAATAAACTCTGAAATTAATATGCTTAAGAATACGCCAATAATGCTCTCTTAGTCAAGGCTTTTTGATATTGAACATCATAAAAATCTTATCAGAAACATCTTCAAACTATCAATACCTTTAATTACATTTCTACAGAAGATTTCAAATAAACTCCATAATTTGCGGCAAATTTAAGTTCAATAGACGATAGATTGAAATCAAGATAATGTAAATATAGTATTAAAAGGAGATTGCCGCTGAAAGTTAACGACTACTTGTGACAGCTCTAATATCTATTATGTACAATATTTATATTTTATTTATATTTTTACGCAGTGATTTAGCCAAATGGAACCTACACTCTTAAGGATCAGATTATGCATCGTAAAATAATAACTATCATTATAAACGATTGCCATAAACGGAACGATGGACAACACTGACTTCCAAAACATATCCTTACTACCTACCCCAAAAATATTATAGTAAATGTGGTTTTTGTGTTGGAAAGGGGGGGGGGGGGTATATCACCTTCGGAATGATGTTCCAGTTTTCGGTCTATTTACTTCTTGCTCATCCGCTTGATAGCTAAAGGATCCGGCAAATTTTCAATCCATATATTGTATATGTATACCAGATACATTATACACCAAGCATCTTATAAAACCTTACACATCACTTTTCTTACTAAGGCAAAACTTATAGAAACAGTCCTACTTGCCCTTTAAAAATAAATAATAAAAGAGTTATAATTGAGTTTAGTATAGTCTATTGTGGTAAACAATACAGTATAATTTGAGTATTAAATATAAAAAGGGTCTATATGTTTTGTATTGACTTTATTATCATATAATTGACTTCAAACAGACAATAGACAACAATAAATACTTCAAGAATAACAATGACTTGTTCAGAGTTTGACAGTAGAGATTTTATATTGTTATTCCACTAGGGAAGGCAGGCTACAAATAGTTTTAAGACCTCGAATGAGAACACACTGGAGACTTTTCCAAATTTCTGAATACGAAGCAGAGAAATCCTCCCATACCACGCAATTCTTCTATACGATATACAACCAGAAGCAGAGAAATGTACGGAGTTGACAGAGTTTAACACCCTTGTAATGAAAAGACTATCCTCAAATCCATGGGTCAAATTAATTGTGGACTAAAAATTAACGTACGAATAAGACGTTGCAAGGATTTATGATACCATAACATCTCGACTGAATTGATTAAAGAGCCAAGTGAAAAAAGGACATAGAATATAATCATCGAATCACCCTCTTGAAATCTGATTTGAAAATCTTCAAATACATCTTGAAAGGTGAATGGTTTGAACTATTTGTCAGAAATTTGTCGATACGCGGAGTGTAAAAGCGTTTCATCTGGAGTAAGTTCTGAATTGACCTCTTTAAAAATATTGGTACCATAAAGATTTCATCCTCAGATCTGACTGAAAAGCTACTCAGAGGAAAATGAAAGAACATAAAATATCCAATCTGACTTTTATATTGCTTTATCATTTTTACATTAAACATATCCCACAGGGAAGGTCAAATGTTAATTTCAGCAAAATTAATTTGAAAAATTTATTTGAAAGACATTTATGAAATTTTACGACTTTATAGATTTAAATTATCAGTAATAGAGATATAGGGGTCACGTGACTATCGCCAAATCTCGTGGCCCTCATATATGATAGCGTTGATTGACGAGAGTTATTTTTTGCTTTGAAAATTGAAAAATGGTGGATAATTTCTCAAAGTTAATTTTGGTCATAGCGGGATATGGCGTCAGTTGTGTTAGAAATGTTTCCTGGGTAAAGTGTGAGATAGTTAGATTCCACTCAGAAACTCTATAAATCTAGCTAGTCTAATCTGAAAACCCAGTCGTTTGTTTAAGTGGTTCTGATAACAAGAAATGAGAAATTTAAAATCATCTCTGTTGGTTGTCCATTTTATTGGTACGTCTGGAAACTACACAATTTGTAATTGGTAAATAAAAACAAAAAGTCACAAATGAAATGCACCGATTCTTTTAAAACATCAAAATATTCATTAGCGTTTTTACAGAACAACAAATATTTCAAGTAAATACATGTATACCACTTCTGTAATCTTAACAACGTGGACTCTCTGATAGCAAAAGGCAGTTATAGAGAGATTTTATGTCTTGTCCCGTAAAAGCAAACAAACGGCACAGAAAGACATTAGAATAATTACTTGCAAATCAAACCTCAAGTCAAAAGTGAGATTAAAATTATCAAATGCAAGTTAATTCTAGTTACTTAATTGGTATGAAAACTAAATAAATAATCTGATTATACACAGACTGAAGGAAAATTAGGGACAGCAGCAGGGATGGAGAAAATATTTTGTTGCTTGACTTTATCGATTGGCTCAACTTTGAACCCATCCAACCCAATATTTCCACATATTATCTTGATAATAGTATCTCGGAGTGTACTCAAATTTAAAATGATCTGTACGATAGGATCAGTGATAAAATAAAAAAAACTTAGGTAGAGATACGCGAAAAATAAATCGATTAGATTTTGATTAATTCAGTTCATAATGCCCTCTGTCGTTTCACAGTGGCCTCTTTCAATTCTTAATTATAGAATGGGATAGCCAAAGAGTGTAATAACAAACCCTTCGTAAATAAAACACTAAATTGATAAATTGGGGAAATTCAAATAGATAAATTTTATGGTTTAAAGTAATGGAATTTTATTTCTTAAAAATCTAAGGTATGATGAATGGGGGATGATGGGTTTTGATTTTATCTTGGTGATATATTTTAAATTAATGTGATTTTTAGTCGTATGTCTATTATTTCTATTAAATCATCTCATATCGCTGCTTTTTTACTAAAATCATCTACCGTCTAATGTTAATTTATGTTAATCAAAAAGACCTCTCCTTTTGAGACTAAAACTCAATTTCCAGCTCAAATAGCTCTTATCAATTTTATGTGTCCTTTAATTTCACTTCTTTGATAAGCAACCACATCAATTTTCGGGACATTGCCTCGAATTATAGGTTTTTAAAGAAAGCAATTAAGATGCGAGGAAGCTGTTTGTAAAAGACTCGAGTAATATTGAGTATCGGGCTGAGATGGCACGATTGGCATATTTCAAAACACGAGATAACAAGGTTGACAATTGGCAGGAAATTTCTCGGGCCTTGATGTCGAATAGGAGCAAATGTTGACCGCTATTGATTGTTAAAGAGGTGATCTGGTAGATAAGAAAGATAAATTATAGTCGACTACCACTTCCTTCACTTATCTCTCACGGTTTCATTCTTTTTGTCGGTATTCTTCACAGCCATCCAAGATTAAAAACGATTTTTGAGGCAATCAGGAGACGCAATGAGACTTGAACCAAACGATTAAGCATTTATCATAAAATTGAGGAAATTAAAGAAGTTGGAAGAGAGGAGAAGAGGTTATCATTTCTTAAATAATTATTGAATTAAGAAGATTGTTGATGGTAATTCAAAAAACGACCAATATCATCAATGCTCACTCTCAGCTAATTCCATGCTACGTGTAGCTGGTTAAAGGCAATCATTACATGATTTACATGCGGTTTAAAAATTATTGCCTGCTTTTTATTTACATTTATCCAATTTCTGCTATAATTCCATCTTAAAATTTGAAATCTTACCCGTTTATATCAGTTTGTCAACAATTAAACTGTTAAAATTGTGTGTTCAATGATCTTCATCTAAAGTATGTTTCACTCTCTAAAATAGATAGATGCTTAGCACTTGGAGAAAAATATAACTAATGAAATTA